CTCGTCTTATATGCTTCATCTATAAGAATAAGAGCTCAAGCAAAAGTTAAAAGACCTTCTGAGTTTTTTCATTCATGTAGAAGAATATAAATGGTCAAAGTTTTATCGATCATTTCATATATTTTATAAGAAATTATACATCACAAGGAAAATAGAGTTATTGACATTAAAGAATGCACATTAAGATATGATAAAGTTGACTCTATTTTTCTATTTTATTTAGATATTAGATATCTTATTCTCCCATAGTATATTTACATGTATTATGGACTGTTGGGATTACGAAAAGGTATTTATTATTAATGAGATTTATCTGAGATTATGATGTCACCTTATTGATGTAGCCTACCCAATGAGGGAGAAATATTAAATTTGAAGACAGAGTCATCGAGGTACATATATGATAAGTAATTTTCAAGGCAACCACCTACTAGGAATTGGCTATATACTGTCAAGGACATTGATTTAATAAATGGTTTTTTATCATTTGTATATTTTATTTTTTTTTGTATTTATTTTGTCAATCTAATTATGTCTTGCATTATTCATTGTTGCCAATAGTTGACAACTTGTCAACTTTGGGCCACTATAATTGGGCACAAAGTATACATTCTTTTATATTAGATAGTGTGTCTGTTGTATTCGATTGAATCAATAGGATCAAGATAGGAGAATGAGTGGCCATCGGCGACTTTAAAGGGATCTTAGTAATATATGTGTGTGTGTATGTATGTATCTTTGCTATTGACTTCTTGGTTTGAGCATGTTTTTTTGTTTTCCTCAAATTTTTCAAATGGTTGTTTACGCATGTTTGAATGGGTTATTCATTCATGTCATATGGGGACTATCAATAAGATATTATTAAAGGTGCTCTTGACAGATGTAAGGATTATTGATTAATTTTTTTTTTACACTTTATTTGTTTGTAACCTTGTGTCATAGATTATTATTCAATGGATGGGAAGGCTACAAGTGTTGATGTTGATGAGACTATGATTATAGATGAGAATGAGATTTTAATATTGTCTACAAGTGTTTGGGTAATATCTTTTTATTGTCTCATATTAAATTATATAATTTTAATATTGGTTAACTAATTCAATTATTATATTTAAATGTAAAAATATTATCAGCAAGTAAGGACTTTGGTATTCAACCTAAGCTATCAAATAAATTATGATGGACCAGTCAATTTTATGTTCATACAGGTGAACATATATTTTCATTGACACCTCATGGTGTTAGACTTTAAGAAAAATATTTTTATGTATTATAATTCATTTCGGATAATGAAGTATATGATGACATATAAATGAACTTTTCATGTGTTGTAAGAGAAATTTTAATTTTTCAGCTCCTAACTTTAATATTGTGATGCTAATAGAAAAAAATGATAACAGATATTACTATGGATCAACTAGGGTGCTTCAACAAGTATATCATCAAACATCACCCATTTGTCAGATGGAAAATAAAAGAGTTCAAAATATCCAAAGCAATATGTATCGTGAGTCTTTACAGTTTTTGTTTAAACTACTTTGCATGTTTTGTATCACCGAGATGATCTCTTGTCTTATTTGGTAGGAATAATTATAGTGTTTTTGTTATTGAATTCATCAATGCCCTGATCTATGATTGGCCTTTGGATGTGTGATAAGTAGACATATGCCAATATCGACAGGATATTGTGCAATCAACTATTGAAGATGATGGCAGCTAAGTTCATTTCTGTCTATCATGATCTACTTTATTATTGGGGTACGTACATTGTTAATTTAATAGAAGAAGCACTGGTATAAATTTTCTTAGAATGAATTATCGGTGATGTGGTTGTTTATGATTATGATGGTTTTTAAGTTGGATTGGAATTGATTTATAGTGTTTTAGAATATGTGATACAATGTTTCAATCATTTGTGCAGTTATGTTAGGTTATAGTATTATAGTTTTTATTATATGTGTTAAAGAGTTTGGTTGTTATATGTGATATAGATTTTCGATAAATTATGATAGTTGTCTTTTTACAGTGTTTTAGTATATGTGATATACTAGTTTGTTAAATGTGTGTTTTGGATAGTGAGCTTTTATAGTGTTTTAGTATATGTGATAAAGTGTTTTTGTTAAATGAGTGTTCTCGATAGTAAAGCTTGTACAGTGTTTTTAATATATGTGTGATATGGTGTTATGTGAAATGTGTGTTTTGGACAGTAAACTTTTATAGCGTTTTATGATATCATTATAATGTTTTGTTAAATCAGTGATATGGACAAACACATTGTAAGGCTACTTCAAAAACAATATTATCTAGAGTAACTCAATCGATGCTTGTCATTTTATTCCGACAACCCACATTGACAGTTGGGAGGTTATTGGTCACATTTAAATTGATTTGCTAGACTATGAGGATATGGATCAACCTTACAAAATATGTCTTATTGATATTACCTTATACTACAATACAAGCCAAAAAATAATGTGTAATGTGAATCAACAATGGTGTCTACAAAAACTACATACCCCAAAGCATCAACCGGCAACAATATGGAAGAATGACGATTGTAGCCTAACTGTTTGCATACTAAGCATATCTTTTTTTTTATCTTTCCATTTTGGATCGATTCAATTCTTGCCTTCTTTCGTTAACCAATCTACACAATAGCTATTAGAGGTAATATGGTTTGATCATCTTCATGTTGAATCCAATATTATTATATGCTTAGGAAATATCTTTTCCTGTTCTAGTAGTTGACATTGGCCATACGAATATATTTTGTTGTCAATGTTGATTACAATCATCTCCGACGATGTCTAGACTTGAAATTCACAATTAGCATGAGGTAAAACTCCAAAGAACCAACATTTTTTTTTTTTTATTTCTTCATTTGCTTCTCAAAATAGCTCGTCAATATTAATCCCTTTACTATTTCACGATGAGTATAGAACTATTTTACGAGTTTTCTTCTTGTCATCTCTATTAAAAAATATATCGGTAAACTACAAATAATCCTAAGCATGGAATTTATACTTTTCGATCCATTCATAGTCAACATTTAACATCTATGTCCTAGGAAATAAGCATTAGCTCACCTCTCATTTTCAATTTAGTGAATCCAACGATAACTATTAATGTGATGTTCTCTCGTCCTTTGCATATATTCATTAAATTTGTAAATGTTTGTAGCTCTGTTGTAGTCCAAAATAATTTTGCCACTTCACAATCCCAAACATCACTCATAAATTTTTTTGACATATGTACCATCAATATCCAGATGATTTTCTGGGAAGATTTTCTTAATACCTTTAAGAATAACTAGGTTCTAGTCTGATAAATAATGATACACCTATAATAGAAACCATTATTAAGAATCTCTATTTTCAATCTCAGTCACATCAAATGCAAATGGGAATAGTTTGTTTGCACCATCCACTTGTTGTAGCCATCAATCAATAAAGCACCAAAGATAGGTCTTCTATTAATCCTAAAATTCTTAATACAAATATAGTTATGGTGCTTTTATAAAGTTTCACAGTCTTCTTCATTTGTATTTCTAAAAAACTATAAAGATAATATAAAAATATATTGTAAAGGATACATTTTTATAATTATTTTATTCATTACATCATATACCATATACACAATTGCACTAGGGCATCATTTTCATCATAAAGTCCAAAAAATAAATCAAAAGATAGCATCTCATTGTTTTTATGAATTGTTTATAATGTTTTCATTCGTATTTATAAAATAACATACAAACACTGTAAATGATATATATTTTAGTAATTCTTCCATTCATTACAGTACATTATACATACACAATTGGACATCATTTGTATCATGAAATCAAAACAAGTGATGAAAATATATCATTTCAGTGTTTTTATGAAGTATTTACAATATTTTCATTCATATTTTTAAAACACTGTAACGATAACATAAAAATACTATAAAGGTAACATTTTCGTAATTCTTTTATTTATTACATCATATACCTATAAATAATTGAACTAGGATTTCATTTGCTAATATTACGGAGTCCAAAAAAAGGGCATAAGATATCATTATAGTGTTTTTAGGAAATGTTTATCGTATTTTAATTCATATTTATAAAATATTATGAATATACCATAAATACATTGTAAAGATAATATTTTCATTATTCTTCTAATAATTACTGTTAGGATCATAATTACACTACTACGGGTTGAATTAGTATTTTCAAAATAAAATTTTGATTTGAAAGTTTCAGACCAGGAACCTTAGTCCATCGATACAAGCTAATTGCCTTCACGTCACTATTAATAACGTACCAACGACCTTTTCAAATGACATTACTATAATTTTAGTTCAAATGTCTACAATTTTCCTTTAGATCCGAACCCAATTCCAACCAATCAAGTGAATATCCTTCAAAATTTTCTATATTCCCATCTGAATGATTCGAGCTGATCAAAGAAGCATTTTGATGAACTCGAATGTGTTTCATAACTAGCAAATTCAAGATCGATCGATCGATCGATCATTTAAATATCCAAATCCGGATACGATGCGGAGACTTAATTACTTCAATTCAGACTGAATTCGATTTAAAGATATATCAAACAAATCAAATATTGCGTATTATTGAGAGAGAGAGAGAGAGAGAGAGAGAGAGAGAGAGAGAGAGAGCAAAAGAGAGGGTCGAGCCGACAAAGCGCGGTATCCCGGGTGATGGCGCTCACGTGATGAGCATCCGACGATCGCCAAATCAACGTCCGGTCGTGGACGACAGGCGCATCAACGGCCAAGATCGGCCCCACGCAAACCGGAGCGCGGGCCTCATCAAGGCCAAATGATTGGGGTTGGCCTTCGTAGCTTTGACTGATACAAGCAACCCAAACCGAATGCTAAATAAAGAACGAGAGAGAAGACAAAAGAGAAGCGAGGCGGAGGAAAGAAAAAGAGAGGGAGGACAAGAAAAAAGAAAAAGCGAGAGGAGGGGGGAGAAGAAAGGAAGCAATTGTCGACATCGTCGGCGTTGCAATCCGTTCGTTTCCCGATCCGATCCGATCCGATCCAACCTTCTCCTTCCCGTCCTTCTCTCTCCTCTCTTCTTCGCGGTGCCGCTGCGCTGGAAGGCAAGAGAGGGGGGAGGGTTTCTCTTTGAGGGAGGCCGATAGATTAAGACAGAGAAGGGAAGAGCGGGGGAGGGAACAATGCATATGATGCGGCGGCTGAAGAGCATTACGTCGGGGCGGCCATCGTCCTCGGACCCTGTGAGCTTTAATCCCTTTCTCATCCTCCCCTTTCATGTGGAATTCTCATGGAGCGAAGCGTTCTTTTTCTTTCCTCGTTGTTGTTTCTCTTGCATGTTCTAGTTTAACGGTGCTTTTGATTGGTATTGCCGGCGGCTTAGGAAGTTCTAATTTTCTGATTTATGGAAGGTAGTGCGGTGTGGTCTTTAATTAGCAAAATAATTCAGATTAGCTAAAGGATTTGATGCGATGTAGGCTGTTTGTTTGTAGTAACAAGTGTACTATGGTAGAGTTGCTTAATTTGTTGCGAATTGCTCTCTAAAACAAAACAAAACAATTCTTTTCTCAACTTTGGAGCAAGTTATGGAAAGGAAACTGTATATTTGTTTCAGGAAAATATCATGACGTGATGGCCACGATGATTAAATAGCTGCGTTGCCAACGTTGAATGCTTTTATGCATGTGGCTTTACCCGGTCAAGGACAAGTATCTGTTTCTGGGCTAAATTGGAACACGTTGGTTGGGTTCAATGTGACATTTTGAAATCCTTAATTGTAACTCAAGACCTTCTGTTTGTCAAGATTGGCAGAGTGAATGCAAATGTTTCTTTTGTTGAGGTGGTTTCCTCTGCTTTATTGATGTTGGGTTAGTTATTCCTCTATCACATTGATTGTGTGATTCTTATAAAGCATGAAGTGATAATTATGATGGCTTTCTTGTCAGTTTCTTCCACTTGAAAGGCTTTATTTTCTGGCTGGCATTAAGGATCGACTTCTTGGGCATTAGTGCAAAATCAGTCCCCCTTATAAAAGCATGCGTGGTGACGTACAAATACAAATTCTACACAGCATTGCGAAGAAAGAAAAACGGAAGATTGTTATGAAGGTTTCTTGATATCTGTTTATGAACCCCCAAGTGGAAGGCTGGGTATACAATTGTGTGGTTGTATATATAATGACTTAGCTAATATACAAAATGGAAGTCATATAGAAGAATAGATCTAAATGATCAGTTAAAGCTGATGAGTAGTGATACAACTTGCACGAATTTTGTCAATTTTTAGATAAAGTACTGATAGAAATACTGCCCTCTGCTTATATATAAATTGGCAATTGTAAGGAAAGAGCTATTACTGTTTAGGCTTTTCTGTGGGAAGTGCAAATAGAGAGAATCTGTTTTACTTTCTCTAGGACCTCTTATGGGAAGGTTGCGGTGCCTCTCTTATTGGCATTGATTTTTTTAATTTTAATTTGATCAAAGAAAGATCAAGCTTCACCGATAATATAGAGTCCACCATTATTAACGATATAGAAAGGAAAGAGGATGAATTTTTAGGACAATATGGCAAGCTGGAAGTTATAATTAATTGCAGTTTTCATTATGATTATGGACTCAAGTACTGCTCTACACTGACCACACTGACTAGTATTTACTGATCTGACACCATACCAATGTGCTGTATCCAACCGTTCAAAATATACTGAAACTAGAAAGCATTCTTTTCAAATTTTTCCCAGCAGTATGAGTAGGATATAACTTTCTGGACCAACACTGTACTTGTACATGACCAGATCAGTATTAATATATTTATAAATCATATTTTTATATATTTTGACTCTCGTTGTGTTATTCACTTTTTGTCTTAATGGACTTTTTGCACCTTCACTAAGGGCGGGGACTATGGAACCAAAAAGACAAAGGTTGATCAAGATGGAGGAGGCAAAATCCTCGTGGAACCACATATGAGTGAAAAAAAATCTATTGAATTAGATCATTGTTCAGCTTTGAATCAAATGAATTTTGATGCAAGCTCATCGAGTTCTGATCCTCCTATGAAAATTCAAGAAGCAACTGTTGATCAGCTCCCAAAGGAAATGAATGATATGACAATCAAAGTTGATAAAGTTAATGACCATGATGAGAAGGTTTGTCATCTTGTTTTGGTTTCTATCTCCGTTATCTAAGAATTATCTGTCCATTTTACTGTTTCTTATTATAGACCTCAACTCATGATGGTGGATTTTACAGGAAAATGATGGGATTATGGTAAATGGAAATGGAACTGAGACTGGTCAGACAATTGTAATAACAATTGGTGGTCGAAATGGTCAGCCAAAACAGGTAAATATTATTTTCCTGAAATCTGAATCTTTTACATCGTTACAGATTAAGAACTGCTCTTTCACATGCCCTGTTCTCTGGGCTTATGGGTTTGTTGGCATTGAACTTATCTTTTTGTTGTTTATTTGGTCAGAGACACTAAGGATATGTGGTGTTGTCTAAGATTATCAGCGGATTTTGACCTTAGTTAGCCAAATGCCTGAAGGGATCTATTTGTGTGACCCAAAATTAGTTGTGAAGACTTGTCATTGATGTTGTTTGTATAAGTTTAGGGCTGATATTTAACTTTGGGAGTTGTCGTTTTTTTTCTATAGGGTGGGCTTGGTGTCATGGTAAGTTCTCATTTTTGCAATTCAGGTGACCAAGGTTCTGCGATTGGAATAGAACCTCTCCTTGCAGCAGCAAGGCTGCACATCTTTACTTCTTAGACTGGGAGCCTTTCCCAATGGGGTGTTCTTTTCTTTTGGCATTCTTGTTCTACCTGTAACATTGGTTTTCTTGGATCGAATTATACATAATTGTAAATTGAAAATATTAGTTCACTTGTTCTAATCTTGGGTTGCTATTCATTTTTTTTATAAGTTTGCCTCAGTTTTTGGATATGCAATGAATAATCCATTAAATAGGAACCAAGAACCCAGATAATTATTTTTTTGCCATTTTGATGCCAGACAATATCATACATGGCAGAGCGTGTGGTTGGCACTGGTTCGTTTGGTATGGTTTTTCAGGTACCTAAAACTAATTCCCTCTTGGTAGACCTCAGATTTATTTACAGTGCCATATCATGATTGATGGAAGTCCAATAGTGCTTTTTCTTGTATCAGGCTAAGCTTGTGGAAACAGGGGAAGCAGTTGCAATTAAGAAGGTTCTACAGGATAAAAGATACAAGAACAGGGAACTCCAAATTATGCAACTACTTAAACATCCAAATGTAGTTGAGCTGAAGCACCATTTCTTTTCAACCACTGACAAAGATGAGCTATACCTCAACCTTGTACTTGAATATGTTCCTGAAACAGTTTATCGTGTTGCAAAGTATTATAGCCGGATGAACCATCATATGCCTCTTATTTTTGTTCAATTGTATACCTACCAGGTGAACAGAGAGAAAAGCAATATGTTTTATTTCTTTTGGCTGTCTGCAATAATATTTTTATTTCAAAGTTCTGTATCTTTAATCTTTTCTTGACCAAGTATTAAGGATTGCATGTTTATTGGTGTAGATTTGTCGTGCTCTTTCTTATATCCATCGTGTCCTAGGGGTGTGCCATCGTGACATCAAGCCACAAAATATACTGGTAAGAATGAGATATATATACTTTGGTCTGGTGAGGTCCTATCAAATTTCATTTGTTTCCTTAGCCAGATTTATCTTTTGTTTTTTTTCTTGAACTTCTGATTGGAGATCAAAATTATTGCTCTCTGTTGTCAAACCTGATGAATTCTATATATTAAAAGTGTCATGTTAAATGCATTTTCCAAATAACCTGTTTTCTATTTTGGATAATTTTGCAGGTGAATCCTCAGACTCATCAAGTAAAGCTTTGTGATTTTGGTAGTGCCAAGAAGTTGGTATGTTGGCTAGCTTGTGTTTTGTAATGCAATCTTTTTTTTTTCCTCATAATGTTTTTATAGCTTTGGTAACCAAACATCTGATTTCAGGTTCCAGGGGAGCCTAACATATCTTACATTTGTTCACGGTACTATAGAGCTCCCGAGCTTATTTTTGGAGCTACAGAATACACCACTGCTATTGACATGTGGTCTACTGGTTGTGTTTTAGCCGAGTTTCTCATAGGGAAGGTAAATGTTTTTATTAGTTTATACACTCGTGCAATCTTTTAAAGTATCCTGCATTAGATGCTTCAGTTGATTTCTTCTAGTCTTCAATGCCATATGATTTTAGCTAGAGTACAATCTTGAAATTCCTTTTTTGTGATGATTTGAATGGTGCAATATGCATCTTCACTTACTGATGTTTTTAAAGCACTAATATCTTTCAGACGTCTGATTTATATACTTCTAATCAAATGATATCTGCAACTCTCCTTTTCTTACTCAATAACTCAAATTTTCTATGTCCTGAGCTATACATTTAGAGAAAATAGTGACTGCATTGGAATGGACCACAAATTCTCCTTTTTTTTGTCTCATTTTTCCTTATTTGCCAATGAAAGAGTATCAAGAATAAAAAAATATGTTAACATCCAATATGGAGCACAACTTTGTGTTTCAACGGTGACAATAGCACCCATCATGGCTGTGGCTGGCAGCCTGCATGGTCATCATGACTGCCATGGCAACTACTATGATTCTGATGCTTTAAGTCATCATAGCCCATAGATTATTGATTACTAATCCGAGTCTCAAAATGAGGCTCCATGCTCCTGCCCTGGCCTTCATCAGAATATAGTCAATTATGCTATTCCTCAATTTATATTTTAATGAGATTTTTTTGTTCATTGGAGACGTGGTATGTCAATGAAGTATATTTACTATGAAGGCATAAACTAATTGTTACACCTTGGAAACAGTTGAAATGTGTTTGCATATGAAAAGTTACCAACCAAAATTTCCAACCCGATCTATATAAATGTAGTCCTAAAAATCATCACATATCATGCTATAAGTTTGTTAGTACCTTTTGACTTCGAACAATTTGCATAAGTTCTCCCAAAAATATTGGTAATTGGAATTGAGATCTTTCTTTCCCAAGATCTTGGGATAATATTTGACTTACAATTGGCAATTACTGGCTTCTAAGTAAAACTTTCTGTTTTGTACATATCATGGGATGCTAAATCCCTAAAAACCACCTTTCACATGTAACTAAACCAGCCAAGAGATGCCATTCTAGTTTTACATTATTTAGACTGGAACAGTCTGCAGAAAGTTTTATATCAATATGTTACAACTTACGAGAACTTGAATGTTCAGCAATTATGCTTCCGATTGTGCCTCCATTTTGGTATTTAGAATGTTTATGAAAAGACTACAATCATTTTAATCTATTATAACCCCATGTGCCAACAAGCTTTTAGGGGATTCTTCGTGGCTTGACATACTTCAGTTTTGTTAAAATTTTAGTTCTTTTAAGGTTCCAAATTCTTATTGATTAGTGTAAGTTAAATGGAGTTACCGGTGATTCTTGAACATCACTGACATTAGAAGATATATAGGCTCTCTTTTAGTGAGGGCAAAATGAAAGGGAGAAGGGGAGCTATGATGCAGCTTTTTTTTTTTAAATCAAAATTACTATATGACATATAGCAATTAATTACCACAAGTAAGAATTGGCTCTTTAATTTGTTATATTTCATGTTCATCTCATTTTTCCTCTTTGATATTGCCTTATCAAGTTACAACATCACTTTGGTATAAAATTGCCACATTTGTTTTCTCCACTTTCGATTTTATCTCTGCAGCTTTGTGCTACTCAATTTTTTTACTTCAACAAGAACTTATTTTTACAGCCTCTGTTTCCTGGGGAAAGCGGTGCCAATCAACTTGTGGAGATTCTCAAGGTTTTATATTCTGGATTCCCTGGTTGATATGTGTGCATGTTTGATCTATCAGAGATTATTCTTTCAACGATCTCATCTTTAACATGTTGCTATATAGGTATTAGGTACCCCGACACGAGAAGAAATTAAGTGCATGAATCCAAGTTATACTGAGTTTAAATTTCCCCAGATAAAAGCCCATCCATGGCACAAGGTCAGTAGATGGATCTTCTTATAATGAAGTGAACAATTGGTTCTTGATGGTTAAATGATTGAGTTCATATGCAGCTTTTTCATAAACGAATGCCCCCTGAAGCTGTTGATCTTGTGTCAAGGTTACTCCAGTATTCACCAAATTTGCGCTGCACTGCTGTAAGATAATCTTAACCAGTTGCCTGTGCTGATTGGATCTCTTTTGTCGTATCAATTACAGCTTTTATGTTCTTTTTCTATATATGATTGTTGTATCATCTAACATCACCTGAACATCGATTTGGCATAACTTTGTTCACTTTTATGAAGCTATTTCCTGTAAAGCTGTTCTTCCTCACCTGACAAGTGGTTTTAGGCAGCATAGGCATGCCTGATTGTTTGTTGTTGAAGTTGCTTGAATCTTATTAAAAGTGTTGTGCTATGGTAAACTATGTATATTTTTTACTTCCTAAGGGTAAAAAAGGGGATTTTCTGTGTTACGGTAAACTGACAAGACTTTTAACAGAAAGCTGAATGTAACATTTGCTTAGCTATCTAGGTTAGAACAGCATGGTCTATGGATACCTTTGCAATCTTATGTTGGTCCATATTCTTGTGTTCTTTTCATCTTGGTGCACACATACTCTGTTTTCCACTGAACAACTCAGGGAAGGCCTTTGCCTAACAGTTGATCCTTTTTTTGTGCTGTGACCTCAATTTACTCCCTTCACACTTATGTCAAGAGAAGATCTACACGTTTTATCTGTGATTGCTATCTGTAAAACTTGGATTTTGTTTCTTCTGGTGAACAGCTGTGTCAGATTCCATGTTTTCTCTCTATATCATCCTTGGCTTGGTTAAACATGGACTGGATCAAAAACAGTTCTTTCAATAAGCTTGATTCTTATTGGAATTATGCATAGGAATATGAAAATAATATTTATCTGGTCAGTCATCAGTTGTTGAGATGTATGTTTCAAATCATCTCATGGAATTAAGAATGCACTTTCTTTTATTTGAGAAACAGATGTAAAAGATGTTTATTTCCATGGATTATGCAGTTGGAGGCATGTGCCCACCCATTTTTTGATGAGTTGAGGGACCCTAATGCACGTCTGCCAAATGGGCAGCCGCTTCCTCCTCTGTTTAATTTCACAGCTCAAGGTTATACGGCATAGCTGCTTTTTTGATGGCTCATCTACAAAGTTGTGTACAACTCATTTGGATGTGTTTGATGCAGAGATTGAAGGTGTTTCTCCTGAACTAATTCACCGCCTCCTCCCTGTGCACATCAAGAGAATGATGTAGACTGGAAGCTAAGTCTTGTAGACGTTAAGCATTTGTACAAGAAAAAGGGCATAGTTGAAGAGAAATCAAGAAATTTGGTAGTGAATATCAAAATGGTTTCAATGACAAGAATTTTGTATTCTCTATTGTGCATCAAATGTTTCATATGGAAGCCACGCATCAGCCCGTTCTGGCTTATCGTCATACAAGGTTTCTTTTGATGCTAGTCTGCAGTTGAAAATTTGTTTGTATGTAGTAGCAAATAATTCTCATGATGATTTCTTAAGTAAAGATCATTTTTTTTCCTACTCTCTTGATTGTCAAATGGAATGATGAGACACATGATGATGGCAATTCAAAAAAAAAAAAAGTAGGGAAAGTCCATTCATATACCTTTAATGAAATTAAGGTAATTAACATTCAAAATTGGAGTGGCATTTTCCTAATTGATATTCAATGCTATCATATTTATTTAGGGTGTCTTTTTTGGAAATTTTTTTTGGGTGTCTAAATCCTTGCTCATTATAATAACGCTAATAAAGCCTGTGATAATGGATTTTTGTAGGTCTAAAAAATATTACTTGATGTGAGCAAATAAACTGATTTCCGAATAAATTGCCAGATGTGAAGTCAACAAGTACGCAGGATGTTAACTTGACAGTGTCTATTATATTAGTTCATCATGTCATCACCAAATAGAAATGAAAAAACTGTGTATCAAAACAGAATAATTTTCTATGAATTATCGATTTCGGAATAATTTTTCCTAGTAGTTCCGTTGTTATAGTTTCTTTGAAATCGAATTCTGGTTTGCACACACCGCCAGTAGCACAAACAAAGGACAAATCAGTTAGTTCAGTGCATTCCTCGGTTAATTTGTGAGCACATGGTGGCTATTAGGAGTTCTCTTCGGTTGGGATAAACAAATATCTGATCAAATTGATGGGGAAGTTGCAATGCTAAGATCATTGTATCAAACAAGTCATGAATTGATGGAAATTTTACCCTTGGGGAATCTGCCAAATCAATCATGTTGGAATCAGCACTTTCTTTCATGTTCTTCTCTTGGAGGTGATTTTTTAAAGCTTCACAAATTAGATTCTGGTGAAGTTTTGTGTTTATACTTGTACATTACGCCAAACTGCCCTGATATAATTGAACTAATTCGGATTGTGTAGGAATCCCATCTGGGATAAATAACCAGATGTTTTCTATTGAGTTTATTATTGATTCTTGATGATCATCTATAAATTTGTATTAAGATTATTTGGAGTACATCAGAGTTGACCTCAGATTGATGTTTTCCTAAGAGTTACTGCATCAGAGTTGTGTGCTGCACTTACTATGTCTTTGCACTTTGAAAACTGTATCTATCTGAATGAAGTACTTGACATCATGCTTTTGTCGTTTTGAATTTGCAAGGACTTTATTCATATTCCGATGTTTGGTGCCAAGCGATCACTGCTTCGATGCTTGGATGATATACTGAAGCTCTTTTAACAGTCTAAGCAATTTATCTTCTACACACATCAGCTCTCCCTGCTGTTTCGCGTGCAAGTTTCTTCTTTATGTCTAGCGAAAAATTCAATTGCTACAAGAACTTCTCCAGGCCATAGATCAAGTTCTGCAACAAAGACCTTGTGGTTAGATAGATGATCCATCTGTGTGCTCATATAAGCTACAGAGTTGCTTTTTCCAAATACCTTCAAGCGAACCACCTTTCTGATGGCCAAGATGAGGCCTGGCATAAGACACTGAACATTTGTGATATCATGTCTCACAGAGTAAACCTGCAGAAACCATTTGGATTTCTTTTGCTGCTGATACACTATAAAAGAAATTTGTGTGTGGAAAGAACACCAGCATACCTCCCCAGGACCCGAGAAGTGTACTGTTGTGGTAGAAGTTAGACCCGGTAAAACCATGCTGTGGACACGCACTCCATCTTCACCCAGAACCTGACCCCTTGCCTTATTAACAGAAATCACACTTGAGATTCGTCAGAGCATTTCTCTGTGCAAGACACGAAAACTATGTACATCTGTTGATATGAATGCCATGCCTGCTATGAGTACTCACATTTGATTCCACGGTAGTTATCAGAACTCCATCTTTGCTGGTGTTATCTTAATTTCTCCATATGTTTTCAGTTATAATTTGGAAGCCCAGTTTGGGAGAACAACAAGAACTTGAGCATTTATTCTTTTTAACTTGTTTGTCAGATTCCACAGAGCAAAAGAAGGTTGCTGTGTTAATATTAGGTTTTTGGTGAATGATATACTATTGCGTCGACAGGAGGAGCTAAGAATTACCGATGCATAATAAAAATTAAAGAGTTCCATAATGCTCAAGCGGAATCAATATATTGTCGGTACTTACTGGATTGTCTGTTGAGATGTCTTCCCGATTGTATCTTTGGCCAAGATCTGTGAGATTATTAGCAATTTGGACTGCTTCTGTTGATGGTAGATCCTGTCCAAATCAAGCAAGTCAATGCAGATGCTTATCGAGTAGCCCAAAGATGTTACGATTCAAACAACTTTGGTTAACTTTGATGGACAGAAAACTTTGTTTGGTTTGACAATGGGGCGACTAACTTTTATATGCAGAGGGTCACAATCGATTTGTTGAACTCAAGACTGTGTGAATTCGCAGCTATCACTTGTAATATTAGACAGAAATGAATCGTTTGATGTGTCTCATAATATTATTTATTGGTCGATTGAGCACTGCGTTGCTATATATGTTGCAGTAAAGTTGCTTACGGATGGATCAGGTCTCGATTCAACAATCTCTACATTGTTGTAGTGGAAGGAAGCTTGGAGTGCTGCTTGCTGGAGGAGAAGAGAGCCGATAGACAGTGTTGGAGCAACAAGACAACCCTCGTAAGAATAACAGGAGACAGACATGTCAGAACCCTCCCTCCGGTTATCTTAAGAAGCATCAAACTGCCGAATGCTAGCTACTACGTAAGATTACTACTTCATGCTGTACGAGCTCACCATGCTAGCCTTGTCGCAGAATACAGAGAGTGCAGTTACCGTTTCTAATTCTATATTTGGGACGTATACAACGCTCCTCAAGCCGAAGGCTGCTGCCTGCAGTTACCGGGAAGACAACTCGAGGGTGGCCATTCCAAGTGTCAGAACAAGATTCCAGGTTAATACTGTTTGTAGGTGATGGATTACCTGTTTGACATTGTCGTAGACGCTTCCAGGGTGTGTGAAATCGACAACGACTCCATTTGCCTTGGTCTAAAAAGCAAATGAAATGAAAGGGTACTATTCTATCAGAGAAGAAGAAAGATGATTTGAAGACAAATGCAGATGATGAGAAACCATCACAGAGATAAAAGAAGTAAATACCTGGGCAATGGACCCTGAAATCATGGTCAGATCATTAAGAATTGGAATCTCCAAAGGCTCTTCCATGCCACATAACTGAAACAACTATCCATTGTAATCAAGGGGAAGACAGAGCACAACACCAGTACTCAAGAGAGAGAGAGAGAGAGAGAGAGAGAGCACCTTTCCTGCATCGTGTCCTACTAAATTGGTATCCACGGCACCGGCAATCTCCATTCCTCTGGCTTTCGTCACGGCGACGATGGCAGCTTTCCCAATCTCCTTAGTCGCACCATTGATCACCACCTGTTCCCATCAAACACGAGCTCTTAATTTGCTGCAAACTTGGCCGAGACTGACGCTGGAGGACAACAACAGAGGAACATGGGTACCTTTATGTTGTTGGTGGAGGGCTGCATCGAGCAACAGAAGGTGGCGGCCGCATTAATGATTCTTGAGGTCTTGTTACAGCTTCTTGGATAGACCGGATGCTTCAAGGCGGTCATCTTCGCTGCAGCTGAACAATAGCGGGTGGGATGGTCGCTGTGCTTTCTTCCCATCCACTTTAGATAACGTATGCCGCGGATGCCTCATCTTCTCGAGCAGGTGGGCCTAACGTTGCCAAATGTGTGGACTCTCACCATTTTCACACGCTTTCTGCTGCACGTGTGTCCACTGGGGCTTTGCGATTTAGATTGACCAGACGAAACCAGACTGCACCAAGTATCTGTCGTCTTCTCTGATGAACTAATAATGCTCTTGCATTTAAATATCTCTCAAGTAGGCAGCACCCAAGACGATGTCCACGAGTCCAAATCCGAACTAGAATTCCCCCCAGAGATACTACTACAGATCACATCATGATTTGAGCTGAAGAGCTTTGCAGCTGGATCCTGTACATCGCACGCTCCCTCTCGCCCTCAGTCGAACACGCTACCGCTTCCCGAGCTCACCTCACCTCACACCACAACACAACACAACATACTGCTCAGCAGTGGCGGCAGCAGCAGCAGCAGCAGCCGGAGGAGGCGATGGACCGGGAATGGAGGAGGGCTTTAGCATTGACTTGTAGGAGTCGACGTTGGTCCGGCGGTCGGCGGTGTTGGAGATCTCCTTGGCGACGGTGTCATCGGCACCGCCTAAACTGCATGAGGAGCGCACCAAGTACAGTACCACGAGGTGTAAAGGGGCGTGAGGCATTGTTGAGAAATGATTCATCGCTATGGACTAAAATACGGATGGATATCAAATAAGCAGCCTTTTTCTTATGTGCCAAGACGAACAGCATTTTTAGGGTTTCCAAGCACGCATATGACTTTAAATGTCAACTTGAATAAGTTTAGTCACAAGACGACCTAACCATAGCTCAGAGGGTTTGCATGATAGATATAGAGTCTTGTTCAGCAGAAACTGAGGTTTCAGCTACTCGGAACACACACACACTTGGGGAAGAACGTAGATGGAAGAGGTGTTGGTTGACTTTTAATGTCAACACCTTCTTCTTGGTCAACAGTAGCACAAGTCAGTGACAATTTGTCTTGTTCAACAATACCAGAACGTGGTAACGATTTCCATTTTCCATTAAAAAAAAACCACAAATTGGTGGCTGTTTTTGTTTAGTTCGATGCCAGTGGGAACTTATCGTTGCTACAATTTCCGAGGCAAACTATTATAAGCTAAAACAAAAGAAAAACATTCCTTTGCAAAATTCAACTTATGAAAACAATTCAAACTGTAGAAGATCAACATCTTTCATGTGCAATCTCTTTTTTCAGAGACTTAGACCAGAATGGCTTCACATTTACTAGCGACTGAAATTAAAAAGTATCAAGGGAGACGAATAAGAGGGAGGAGAAAATGCATTTTCTTTTGCATTTACAATGCAGAATATTAGCAAGCTCACTAATAATGATTTACATTCCTCAAGCTCAAACCCACTCTATCTTTCCACACAGGAAAACTGAAGCAGAAAAAACTAAAAGTAAAAAATGGACAACAAACGACTTCGCTTTGTATCCAGACCCTCCAATATTTTCTGGGGCTAAAAATAAAATTTACTGACATTTACAAATTAATAGATTAAGTTAGAACTTTGTCATCGCTTTGACTTGGCTCAAATTCAGAAGCAAATATTATTTTAGTCAATCTTAATCAGATCTTTTACTATTTCCGACACTTGGGGCGGACCTGTTAACCGTTCGCACACTGTATTGCTCATATACCCTAGCCCGGTTCTCAGCCCACCATTGTTCTGCTTGCTTCTCACTGAACCGCTTGCGACTGTATAAGAAGCAATGCGAAAATGCTTTTAAAACCATCAAAAGTTGTAACTGGATTTGTACATAATTGTTTATAACAGTAATATATGAAGCAAAGTCTCTAACAAGCATTTGTAAGCCACACTTTTGACCAATGAAAGATAATTGATGTCACATTGGTTATTGGCAAGCATGTAGACATATATCTTAAATGCTCTGTTCTGATGTCATACTTGCAACTTAGCATCTGCAAGAAGAACTTAACTAATGCCAACTTGCAATTGTTTGGGCTTGTCACTACACCAACAATAGCAAACTCTATGTCCTTCAGATGTAGTGAGAGATTTTTAGTATTATCTGCTTTTGACAGAAATTGAAAAGACAAGATAGACATACCTAAACCGAACCCGTTTTAGGTCTCTCGCACCTTCAGGCAAAGAAGTAAGGGTGATGTAGACACCTGGCTCATCTTGCTCAACCCATTCTGTTTCATGATTGGGATCAGCATCGATCACTTTACTTCCATTCCTTGATACTGGGGTACCTAGATTATTGCGACTACCAATGGTACTTTGTCCATTGGAACCTAGCACTTCACTGGAACCATTTGCATCTTTTTCACGAGAGGTCAACAGGCTGCTTAATTTCTCAGCAGTTGCATCTGAAAAACTACTTGAGTCGAGACTAGTGTTGAAGGATGCCGAGGAAGAAAGTTCACTGTTTTCAGCTGCTCCCACTGGCAATCTTTCAGCCATGTCCTTTAACTATTGCAAACATGTCAGAAACAGATGGAAGATGTAAGACCATAATCAAACAGTGCAAGATGCAAATGACTAGAATTACTAAATGACATTCCTGTGGACAAAATTTCCAGAATCAGTCATGTAATCTCTTCAATAGTGTGAATTATATTACAGAATATTTATTTGGTCAGGAAATGCAACGAGTATAAAAAACTTATGGATGCTGGCATCACAATTACATTGTTTCGCAGCTAGTTCTCAATCATCATAGTGAAACGGATGCCTGTTGTAAGAAACCATTTGGATGTCACTCTATGAGCTGCGCGTAATAGCTCAAGACAGCCGTATCATCCTCTACTGGAAACCTAACTTAAAACCTCTTTTGATGATTGAATGTTTGGCATGTGGTTTTTAGATGAATCCAAGAAAGACTTGCATATAATTTTTACAGATTTACAAACAAGCTATAATAGCTCTTCAATAGATTTATTATGGTAGATCTTCAAAAAGAAAGTTTGTAACTACTAACTATATTGATGTTATAAAAGATAAATATGATAGTATGGTTATTAGTATAAATTAACCTTAGGGAGTCCTTATCTTGTTTCTTTTTTTGGTAAAGAACAAACTTAATAGTTATATACAAAGTTCGCCTTACCGGTCCATACCGATATACTATGCGTTGGTATAGCAAGGCATACCGATGACACAAAAAATGACCAAAAATAGCTCCAAAAATTTCTAAAAAATACAAAAACAAGTTAGATTAGGGTTTCTAAGTTAGAAATAAATATAATTTATATATAATTTTAGTAAAAATAATTTAAATTAGGAAAGATTAGTGGCACATATATTTTTCAGGCTTTGAGGAGTAGCTTTGTGGTATGTTTCGGATTGTCCTTCCGTTAATATTGAATTATCCAAAAAGAAATTATTTGAATTGTTAGATTATTTGTTAAACAACTTAAATATTAAGGTTCAAATAAATCAAGTAATCGATTGATGAATATATTTGGTTCTACCACCAAAAAGAATGATGAGACTCTCTGGGCGATGGATCGAGGTCCTCGATATTATGTATCTGTATTTCAATTTAATATGTTTGTCGGACCTAATCCTGAAATTGATCCCATGACATATTATACTGATATACCGTATGTTATTCATGCATCAATATGGTGATAATCGTAGTTTGATCGTTGTGAACCACATGTGTCCGATGCGGCTCCTAAGGTAAGTACGATTATGACATATATTGGTGTAGAGGTTGGAGAATGCCATAACTTCTACTTTTGCCATTGATTTGGTCCTCCATATCATAAGATCGATCACCGTATTGCTATTAGTCGTAAGATTCTTCATAATATGATAACCGTGAATACGACAAGCTTTGCTAAGTGTCTACGTCGTGTAGGCTATATCGTATCTGCTCAAAATCCTCCACTGTCATCCCCTTCCCCTTCCGTATATAAACTTGACTAGTACCTCGTTTAACTCCATGATATGAATCTTGGATGGCATGCATAAAATACTACTCCTCGATCCATGCACCACCCTCAAATTGTGTAGACGGGACTATCGACTCCCCAACGTCGCCGCCATCATTGGTCGAGGCACTGCTGTCCATGTTGCTGCCATGTCTCCGGACCGAGCGGGTTACTAAATGCAATTGAGAAGATGTCTCGTTGCCTTATTCGATTCTTTCCAACGGTACAACTGATGCTACTTTCTTTCCCTTTGCCTTTGCTTTTACACACTGGGCGAACGACTGTGATAGTTAGGTGTCTCTAGTTCCTCGAGTAGTCTAACTCAATGTGAGTGAGACTACTTAAGCTTTGTAGAGTTTAAGAGAGTGCAAATGAGAGAATGAGAGAAATATGTGAATGAGAAAGTAATTGAGAGAGTAGATGAGTTAGAGAAAGTGAAATGGGAAAAACGAGGGGGAAGAAAGGGTTTAAAAACCCTTAGATTTAGTTCAAATGATCAAATGGATCGTTTGAATTCAACAAATCCCAACCATTGATCAGTATCAATCGAAATCCGATTGTTACTGATTGGTACAGGTTAGTAACAATCGGATTTCGATCATTCTGACCAGTACAGACCTCGTATCGAGCGATATAGGGTCCCCAGTTATTGGCGGCCTGGTACAAGGTGGTCCACGTGCTGGTCTCCTATCAGACTAGTACATACCGCCCAATATAGGTCAGCATAGCAAATCTTCATGATGTATTTTATTTGCTAATAATTTATTTTAATTAATAAGAATTTAAATAAAATTCATTCTACCTAATCTAATTCTAAACTAAAGGTTTTAAATATGTAAAACTAAGGTTGAGTATATGAGATATAATTTTAGTAATATTAAGGGAAGAACTAAGGATGGAAAAGATGTTTCAATAAGTTTTAGGTACCTTTAGATCTATTACTAAAGATTGGGAGATAGATATTGTTAATAGAGTTAAAACTTAGTGGTTAAAGTAAAGAGAGATGTTATAAGTTTTATATAATTGTCAAAATACCTTTAAGACCAAAAAATAAATATAAAAGATAATTGTTAGACTAATGCGCTTCATGGACTTGACTTATGGGTGGTTAGCAAGCAACTTATATCAAAAGTTTCTATCACCGAGATAAATTATTTTTGAATACTTAAGTATGTATCCAAATAAAATGAGGAAGAATCGCTTAAAACGATATAGACATGAGGGAAACATCAAAAAAATTTACTAGAAACTATAAATAAAAATATAAATTAATTCATTTAGGGATATTGCTTTATATAGAACTTTTTTAAGCTCTGCATGATATTTCAGCAAATCAATTCTGTACTAAAATAATAATTTAAGTACATGTTTGCCATTCAAAGCAAGTACCCTTACTTGAGCAGTGAGTGACTTGATTACTTCTTTGGCCGCTTTGCATTTTGCAGCTTCTTCTCCAGCAACTGAAATAGCTTCCTTCAATTGTTTAGTTGTTCTCTCTAACACAACCTCTTGAAGCTGAGCTTTATAAGTAAGATTTGCCACCTACAAATATGTTGCTAGAGATGAATGAACTACAACCGCTATGTTAATATAACCATATAGAAATCATTCTTTGACTAGCTCTGTGAGAAACTACAGTTACCTCATGATATCTCTACCTGATATAAGAACCTATAGATAACTAAACAAGATACTCAACAACAGATTTAATTTCTTTATCCAGTTGGCAGCATTCACCCACATGAAAAAAAAACAATTTCCAAATGCAAAATACCATGTTTAAACCAAGAAATTTTCAGCATGTTAAAATAGCATACTTTATCAGTCCTATTATTGGCATGCAGGTAAAGTCGCCATATGAAACAAGTTCAAATTGAAATCAGTTTGACTTTCATAAAGTAATTTTTTGAGTGATTACTTCTGTGTTCAGTATTTAAATGCACCATTCATGTTAATTGGCAAGAGATCTGGTTCAATGGACAGTCAAATTAGAGTTTAATGGTTCTATCTCTCTGATGATGTCAGAATGGCATCTTCCCTTAGCAATCACTTCAGTAACCACCACAAGTCCCTGCGACATTAACTAGGCATCTTTAATTGGATGTTCTCAGCACAGAAGCTATCTATACCATCTGAATTAACTGGAAGCTGAGTTTCTTGAAGGAAATAGGCATTGCATCTTGAACTGGAAGTAATCCCTGGACCTTTGGTTTCTGTTACGCTCTTCTTAAAAATTACAAGTTCTGTTTTTTATCTTTAACAATTTCCACTCTGGATCTCTCAAATTCCAACGCATAGTAGTGTTGTCTAATTAACAAATCGGAGGTTGTGAATAAACTAATTCCTTAATGCAGGATATTTTGATTTATTTTTCTTTTAAATACATCTTGTTAGTTTAGGGGTTGCAAATTTCAGAAGTCAAATAGCACTTCTTCTATGATCTCACATTACTTACCTATACTGCCTAGGGTAAAAAAAAGGAAATTTAAAAAAGATAAATTTAGTGATTAATTGATCATTTCAGGGCTAATTTGGAAATCTCATCTCAATAAGAAAGTTTAGGTTTGATTGGAGGAAAATACCAATCAAATATATTGTGAAAAGGAAAGAATATCTACTAAAACAAATTTGGAAGGATCTCTTCCCTAAAGAAAAATTAGTATGATAATTGATAAGTCTTGTATAAATAGATGAATTTTTCTTTTCTTTTGTAATTTTTTCATTTTTCCTTGTACTTGGGGTCTATAAAGAGGGAAGAGTGTTGTAATCTTAATGATGGCTAGATGAATAGAATTTTTTGCATACAACATGTACGATTGGTGTGTGATAATATTTTAAGCATACTTTGTATTTTCACCCGAACTATCGACCGATATTTATTGGTATGAGCGTGAATCATTACATGGACCATCCCTTCTTGGGTGGTCCCATCCAATCTAATTAAAAATCTAGGTTGCTGGTTCAATTAGGGCTCATGATCACGAGCCCTCTTCTCCATCTCAATGTGCGAAGCGTATGCCTGCTATCATCCTCTTCCACCTATCCACTTGCTGTCCTGTCACGGATTTAGCTGGTTTTGCCTAAGTTGTGTGGCACCCTTGCGTGTCTATCCTCAAGGGATCAGCCTCCCCAAAACCTTTTATGGTCCCTTAAGGACCTACAAAAGAAAAGATGAGTTACAAAAAACGTTTAACTCGAGATCCACAAGCAGCCATTTCAGCAAACACTTGATAGACAATACAAGTTACAAACATGGACTTCACAAGCTCTGAATGGTCACACGACAAAGGGTCTAAGGTGGTCCGCCACAGCCCCACAAGTGCTCATATGACACTACTACCAAACAAGGTAGTAAATCAACCCTAAACACTACTCCAAATGCCCATCCAGCCATGTGCCACCTGAGTAACTCCTAGGTGTTGTATTGGTTGATACTCCGCGCTACTCTGCGGAGCAAGAAAACCTCCAAAATGATTGCTTGGATGACCATTTTCTAGGCAGTTTTGCCTCTGCATGATGACTATACAACCTACATTTACAAGCCTGAAACGACCACCAAAGCCAACTAAAATGAAGCTGTCAAACGTATTACAAGCCCTCTACATGTTGTGCAAAGTATGAACAAAACCAAAAGATACGAACATACATGAGCATTATATTAAACATCTCGTTTATAGCTTTGTTCATGACATTCTCTCCCATTTATCCCTTCGACATCCTCGTCGAAGCCTTTACAGACGCTGTATCTCCTCGCCTTTGTTGAATCTTCAATCTTCTGCTCTAGCTGCAACGCGTCTCTTGGCTCCCATTTGCACTCCACCACTATTTTTTAGTAGTCGAACTTTAATCCGCCACACTGCTTCAACTCGTAAATGACTCTGACTTTGGTGTAGGGTCAATCGAGTTGTGTTGATCCTTGTTGGTTCCTACGGATACTTCAGATGAAGGAAAAAACGTTCCTTGTTATGCATCAATCTCTCAAACATCTCATATCGCTTGAACTGAGTGGATTCTATTGGAGCTTTAACGAACATCGCCTTGTAGACTTTGAAGTTTTTTGGGTCTTTTCTCCCGCAAAATTTGCCCATTGATTTCTATTCTACTCAATTGTTGTCTCCAAGTAGGTTTACATCATTTTTACTTTCAATTGGTATTCTATTGGGAAATAAAACGGACAATCTACTCTCGATAGCACCGATCATCATTAGTAAGGATTTGACAACTATTGTCTTCTACTAAGTTTCTTTGAGAGGTCTTTGAACCTGTGCAAAACTCCTTTGCTGGATAAATAAGAGAACTGGGGTATTCAGTTTCACCCATTCTCTTAAAAGTTTATAAGACAAAGGTTACTCGACTTCGCCCGCCTCCTTAAGGATTGTGCTCCATGCATCGAGCTGGTTACTAGCCTTCACCTGTTCTTTGCTCACACTTCCGAAGCACCCGAAGTGTTTGTACTCCTTGCGTTGAGTTAGCTATTGTGATTCGCCTTCTCATTGCAATTGAACTTTTGGACTGCAAGAAGTTTTGCCCGTAAAGAGTAAAATTTCACCCTGACTTGAAGCAAGTCTTCAATAGTTTTGATCGTCTTTGGGATTGTACCGTCTTCTCCATCATCTCTGCAGCCTACTCCTCTGAGTAGAAAAAGTACAACACCACGTACTGCCTATTTCATTCCTTAGTCGAGCACTCCTACATCAGCCCGAAGTTCTCCACTTTTGGTTATTTTGATGAGAAGCCCATTAACACCGATCTTACGAAGTTCCCTAGTCTCTACCCTTCAGCCTTGTTTGCCCTTCAGCCTTATCTCGATACTTGGAGTTTGCCTCTGCATTCTCTACCTCCTCGGACCCCTTTCACGACCACACGCTCTCCGTCCATGAGTGCAAGGGATTGATGACTCCACGGAAGTCCCGCCTCTACGATACCATAGCGTTGTCATGCCTATGGCTATACTATCTGTTGTCTCGTATCAGTGTCCCTTTCTTCGTGATCGATAGATCCACCTCTGCGACATTATGAAACTCCTCCGAGTCCACCTCCTCTCTAACCGACGCTCAATTTTGGGTAGCTGAGTCCCTTTGGACTCGTCGTCACTTCCTCGCCCCTTTTGAACCTCTGCTTTAACACCTCTATGTTCTCTTAGCAATTCCCCTTGGTCGATGGAAAGACAGACTACAACTCTCATACATGGCCTCCGCCATCATGTTACAGGGCCCACATTGATTATGTTCTCCTTAGCTTCCTTAGTTGCAATGTTTGCTTACTCGGCCTTGTCCTCTAACTTATCGGACTCCCTTAAGCGAATATAAGATCTGGAGCAATCTGACTCTCCAGCCGCTTTGATCATACCTTTGTATGATCAAGTCCCCCTCATGGGACTCACTAGTACATGCACTTGGAATTCCCTCTCGGTGGTACATAACCCCCATATGCTGATGATCAAGGCTTTTATCCGATGCAAAATTCAATGCACGCACAAAAGACCTACCTCTACGATACCATGACATTCGCTCCTTGAATCCATAACCCTTCTTGTTGTCATGTTGTTCACCAAAGTGGAGCTCCCAACAGCTCCCGATCATACCTCTGCATGATCAAGTCCCTTGCAGGACTTCTCCCGTGTGTGTCGCATCGCATCGAACTATTCACCATGATCCGTTGCACCATGTCGTCTCCTAGTGATATCTCCATTGCATTCTGATCTTTATGGGATGAACTCAGACTGTGATCTCTCTATGTGTGACCTCTACTAGCATATTGCAAGGCCTCCGTCACCTTCAATTGTGTTCACTCCTTTGGCAATCCACCTTCGTCCACTCGCTCTCGGGCCACACCCAAACGAAGCACAGCTCTAGGACAGTCCATCATGTGCCTAGCAACTCCTGAAGTCTACCGACTTCGTTGAAGTTGGTGCGCCATTGTCTAGATCCTGGGCCTTTGCCCCCCAACACAATCTCCGCTGCGCATCGCTTCCTTCGCGGCAACTCAAAAGGCAGCATTGCGGTATATTCTTCAAGAGTACTCGCCTTCGTGTCCTCTTACCTCGTTCCAAGGCCTTTTGACCCCAACTTTGCCTCCGTAAATTAAGTCGTCTTAGTTCCTCTGTCAACTTCTTCACCAAGATAAGGTGTATGTCTTAAAGCTCTCTTCAACTTTAGCACCATGCAAGTTGAGTCCGATCTTCATATTGACTCTACGTGTGCCTTCGTTTAGTGTTGCCTTGAGTCGCTCCCCCCCTTGATCTCGCAATGTGTCTACCAACACATTATCTCGTGCGAGATCATGCGATGACTCCTCGTTGCTCGCTCAGTCCATTGAGCTTTGTGGAGTTATTATCTTAACGTACACTTCAACATATGCAATCCGTTGCACATGATTCTCCCTCTGGAGAACTAGGACTTATCTCTCCTGGATATCTGTCCCGTTGGAGAAACTTCTCTCTTCGCATCCTTCCCTCTGGAAGTTTCGGAGACCATCATCCTCTTGGACTATTCCGCCTTACTGAATAAACTATGCACTATTCAATGCACTTGCTATATTATGACTCTTCACCAATACAACCCTCAGTGTGCCCCTCAAGGCCTAGCAATATGCTGAACTCGCTACACACTTCAATCTCCTACAGATATTTTCTTCCCATGTCGAAAAGAAAGTTATAATGCTTCATGGCATTAAGTTTCGGTCTTCTTGGGATGGCCATGGGTAACCCATCGTCCGCATACAAGCCCTTGCATGAGTACCAAATTCTTCGAGTTAGCAATTTCCCTCACCTCTGTGAACTTTACACAACTCTTTTGATCGTTGAGCAACCCATCCCACCTTACACAGTCTCATTCGTTGCCAAGCACCCTACTTGCCTTGAGCACCGTCAAGTTTGGTTGCCAACATCGAGCCATAGCTCTAACTCAACCATCCCAACCTTTGTGCACTACACGTTCTTCATAGCTTACTTGTCCTTGTGGTGCTGCTTGCGCGAAAGGGTTGGTCATTCCTCTAAATGTTAATCTCGGATGCTCACTCCTCTAAGTGACTCCTTTCCCTACGTCTTTGCACCTGTTTCCCCCAAACGGTCGTGCATGCTAGCTGCCCTCCACATAGCCCCGCTAGGTCCCCCACGTTTGCTTACCAAGTATTTCTAAGTATGCTTGTCCCGCTCTAATACCATCTTGCATGGACTTAGCTGGTTTTGCCTAAGTCGTGCGGCACCCTTGCGTGTCCGTCCACAAAGGGTCAGCCTCCTCAAAACCTCTTATGGTCCCTTAAGGACCTACAAAAGAGAAGACGAGTCAGAGAAATCATTTAACTCGGGATCCACAAGCAACCATTTCAGCAAACATTTGACAGACAATGCAAGTTACAAACATTGACTTCACAAGCTATAAACAGTCGCACGACAAAGGGTCCAAAGTGGTCCGCCGTATCCCGAAGTCCCCACAAGTACCCACATAACACTACTGCGAAACAAGGCAGCGAACTAGCTCTAGACACTACCCCAAAGGTCCATCCAGTCATATACCACTCGGGTAGCTCCTAGGTGTTGTGCTGGTTGACACTCCACACCACTCTGCAGAGCTAAAAAACCCCAAAAATAGCTATCTGGATAGCCTATTTTTGGGCAGTTTTGTCTCTACGCGACGATTGCATACAACCTACGTTTACAAGCCTATTACAAGCACTCTACATATTGTGCAAAACATGAACAAAATCGAAAGACACGGACATACATAAGCATTATATCAAACACCTCATTTATAGCTTTGTCCATGATAGCCCATTGAATGTCGCCCACTGCCCGTCACCCACCGTCGACTTCTTAGGTATACTTTCACCTCTTCGTTGTCTTTTCTTCTTCCTTACTCTTTCCCCTTCCTCCTCTTTCTTCCTTACTCTTTCTCATTCCTTGAAATTTTCAAGTAGTGACTCATAAAGCTAGAACAATCTCATGTTGGGGCTTCACTATAATTTAAATAGTATTCCTTAGATTCCATCAACATGCTTACCATTTTGAATACAACTTTGGAACAATAAAGTTCAAATGCTAGTAATAGATGTACAAGCCAATCATACACACATATATAGAGAAAATCCAACTTCATAAATAATCTTCACCTCATGCAAATATAATTTAAAACTATTTATTTGATGGCCCAGATGTAACACACTATGCTTTCCTGATGGAAAGATATTGCAGAATTCATTAAAAACCAATATTAGCAAAATTATATAATGCAGCAAAATTTATGAAAAGATATTGAATTAGTTATATAATAGGTGGCAGTCCACGTATCGGCACCTAATATTTCAGATGCAGATCTATTACATAGTAGCATATGCACCTAGAAAACTTTTAAATAAGCATGCCAAAATTCAGGAAACTGAAATAACAGCAGCAGCTATGAGTGTATAATACAAGTAGCATCGATGTACCAAGAGGCGAAGGACATCTATCTTTTACAAATTGGATTGAACATAGTATCCATATTGCAGATCAAGATGAGACAGAAAAGTTTTGACATCAATAAGGAAACTTTAAGATATTCCTCAGAAAAGTAACAAGTATATCACATTTAAATCTATCAAAAGATATGCTGAAGCAGGTGTGGAAGTACTCAGTAGTTCAAACATACCCAGTGTAATTGGACGCTGGATCAGAAAGCAACATAAATATATCCTTACGGATGCTTGACATTGTAAATTTACCTGAGCCCTTAACTTCAGAACCTCTTGGCTTATGCTGTCAGTTGCACTCTTTGAACCATCAAGAATGGTTCTCAGAGAAGTAAGTCCCTGAAGAGTTGGGTTTGGTGTGGTAGAACGAGGGGGGCTGGCCCTTCTAGAAACAGGTGATGTTGCTCTGGAAACAATTCTTGAGCCAGGAACAGAAGCTGAAAAGAACTATTTCGATGTTCCAGATGCTGGATTAAAAGATTTTGAAATGTTAAGGACACCCCACCATGCAGTTCCATTTGGGATTGGAGAAATGCGACTGCTAATAAATTCAAATTTCTTGTTCCTTTTAGAAAATCCACTTTCCATTTGCTTAAAGGACTCCATTGAAGAAAATCTATGGATTTGCACATTTGATCTTGGATCCAATTTATCCTCCTCGATCATGTCACTGAACCCCTGAATCATATTTCCTCGTTTACTAGCAGCAGAATGAGATGATGAGTCAGTTTCCAAGGGCTTGCTTAACTTGATAAAGCAGTTGTCACATACACGATATGGTTTATGAGGATTTGGTGCCATAGAAGCCCTAAGAGATTTCTTATTGCTGCACGAATGGCAAAAAACAAGTGCACAATTATAGCAGTTATGACGCTTTCTCTTAAAATTAAAAGGCAGACAGCAGCCAGAGCACATAGACTGATCAACTCCAGACACCCATTTATGGATACAAATTGCTGCAGTAAAATTAGTGCCACAAACTACATTTCTAACTTGTTTATCCTTTAAAGCTTCAACTAACGTAGGGGAATTTCGGTCATCAGTATCACGATGTCCTAATCGACCATTTGCTCCTTTACCCCATGTGTAAACTTCAGTTCTTGAAGTTAAGACAGCAACATGATAAGCACCACATGAAATCTCCTCGACAAAGTTCTTAAGGAGCTTCCCTTCAACACGCACAGGGAGCTTTCCATCTGATTGAGGGTTTCCAAGTTGACCATAAACTGCACTGCCCATTGTGTAAACATGGCCTGAGGTAGTAAGTGACACTGTTAGGCTATGCCCACAAGCAACTTGACAAAAGTTTGGTTCAACCAACGCAGCTACACATGTAGGCACTAGTCTATTTTCTTTGTCACCATGTCCAAGTCGTCCTTTGTCACCATCGCCCCATGTAAATAGCTTCCCAGAAGAACAGTTGCTAGAACTTGAATTTCCAGAAATAACTTCTACAACCGCAGCAGTATGCCAAACACCACAAGCAGCTCGAACTGTGCGCAATCCCCTAAGGGATCCTACTTCCCGAGGTACTGAAATACTTCTGCGATCTCCATGACCTAGGACACCAAACGTTCCATCTCCAAAGGTGAACAGTTGCCCTGAAGAGGTTACAACAGATGTATGCCAAGGTCCACAAGAAACTGATGAAACATGTATACCCTCCAAGGGTCCACTAACCATTTTTGGAAGCCAGTGGCTCATTTCATTTCCATTCCCAAGGAGCCCTAGTGTAGAAGTACCATCACCCCAGGTGTAAAGGTCACCAGACAATGTAACAGCACATGTATGATGCTCTCCACAGGCTACAAGTTCAATATTCATATTTACAAGAGCATCAACTAATCTTGGTTGAGAGACATCGGTCTTTACTCCATGCCCAAGCCTACCTCCTGACTCCTCGCCCCAAGTATAAATCTCTCCTTGCTTGGTGACAAGAGCAGCATGTCTCCCACCACAAGATACATTTTGCACATCTAGTATTACAGCAGATTCTAAGGCTTTTGGCACAAGAGAGTCCATTTTAATAACTGAATAGCTACCAAGTCCCAGATTTCCACCACCTAGAAACCCATTTCCGGTCCCTTCACCCCATATGAATACATCCCCTAATGCGTCTCCATCATCATGACCTGAACCTTGACTGGATGAGCTTACAGCACTTGACAGACTGACCCTAAATACATCTGTCGCAATGACCCTTGTATGCCCATTTATACTGTCTGAGCATCCAGAAGATAATGAGTGGAGTGACTCAGTAACAGAATCTGAAGGAAAGAAAGACTTTGGAGGTACTTCATATGAAACAACCTCAGAAAATGACTTGTCCAACCCATTTTTTGTGGGGCTTTCATATGGACTTCGAAGTCGAAGAGTATCACTGCCATCCTGGATTAAATATGACTCAGCAATTTTCTTACATAATAGCAAAGTTAGAGAAGATAAAATGATGAGCATAGAGGACCTTCTGCATGCTATCACTGCTACCAAAGGGAGAATTTAAAGGAGAACTTCTACGGGTGTATGTTCTTGGACTATTTGTACCAGATGACACTCCATCACTTCTGGATTCTGTTCTCCATCTCCGATAATGGCTGCGTGATATCAATGTTTTTAGACCAGCAAACCAGACTTCAGCTTCATCTTTATCCTTACATATCTTGCATAGAGAAAATTGAAAATAGAAAAAGCAACATGGATGCTTAAATGTTAAGAATTACTAAAGGACAAGTTAAGAAAATTATCAAAGTCTTGACTACACTTACAAGATCTAGTGATCTCTCATTATATATGAGAGAAAATGACTGGCGCTCCTTCTCAGGTTGCCGGTATCTCTGAAAAATTGCCTGACAGACAGATATGTATTAGGAGTCAATCTTTCTAGAAAAAAAAAATTTTTCTTTCAGTGGATTATTCATTTTCACTTCCATTTGGTTAAGTCACTAAGAAATTACTATTCAAGACTATTTGCTTCAAAATATTACCACTTCACACCTGTCTTTGTCAGATCACCTTGTTGTCTCATCCATTTTTGCCAGCATAATATCTCATTAACTGATTAGGCAGGGTCCTAGATTCATCAGACCATGCATTGGTGGGAGCATAGAGCACTGGGTTCACCCTTTTCTTTGGATCTTCTGGTTTTTTTCATTGTTTGACAAACAATTAGTCCATGACATGATCAAACCTTTATTGGGGATTCGGTTTGTAGTGAAAATTTATCAGCTTGCTAGTTTTTAGTGGTTATTCCACAGTCTGCATAGTGAAAAATTAATTCTCTAAGAAAAATAAGATTTGATGGGTGTATTTTAGAATCTAGATAAAACAAATAGAGAGATAAAGTGGATTCTAATAACTAATCATAAAGAAATAGGGAACTCTGAAATTGCAAAAATTTATTATAGCAAAACATATTTTTGGAGAAGTTCAGTGTAATGTAAGGTAAATCTCAATAAGTGATCAAGAAACAATGTAGGAACAATAGATACATAGGGCTTTCAAAAGGGTCTCTAATTAAGAAATAGAATATAAATAAATAAACATAATACATATAGGTAAATAATTCAGGAATTGCTAATAAGGCCCAAAATCAAATAAATAAACATAATACAACCAGGATGGCATTCCTCAGCATTTTAATGGCTTTTCATGATGAGAAACAGAAACTACCTATGATATTTTTCATAATATTCTACTTCTGTTTACATAAATGAATGGATAAACATCCATTGATATCCAAAAGTTATATAAAGTGGAAATGAGAAGCATCAAATTTTCTCTTTAAGGATTTAAACAATAATAGAACTCCAACAGGACAAATGAACCACCCCTATGAAATACCCTTATGATGAACTAGAGTTCCAACCTTTTACATTTTGTTGTACATTCATGATGAACAGAATCCAATACCTTTAATGATACAAGTACCATGTGAGGTGATCCACTGACAAAGAAAGAAGACATGGTAGGTGAAAAGACAACAGTGACAACTATCCAGCAGATATGTTACTGGTATCACAGTGAACAGACAGTATAAAAAAGGTGGTCAGGAAACAGCAGAATGGGTCCTTTCTAAAACAGAATAGTTTTTATACTGATATTCTGTTACTATCAGCAAAATAGCTATAAATCAATGATCTTCAAGAATGAAGAATGATAAAGAGAAAAAAAGTAATGAAAGAAAGGAGTTTTATGGCTAGAAGAATATTCAAAGTCTACTAGTTGCAAATTTCACCAATTCTCAAAAATAGTAGGATAGGTCATGCATATGCATAAACATGTATTGGCTTCCCCTAAGATTCCTTGGTCTCTAAAACATATGCACAAACCTGTTAGAAAAAGATTCAGTAGACAAACATAGTAAGAAGCAGTTATCCATGGTGACACTTGAGATGGGAGTAACTGGCAAAAACATATTACTTCCAAGGATGACATTCTGTCAGCAAAATAAGATATAAAGTGGATGATGTTGGCATCCATCCACTGACTTGATATATGCATAAGATTAGAAGAAGACACATTTGGTTTCAAGAGTAGATGTTTTGACATGCAACAAAGTGACAAGTTCAATCATTTTCTGAAATAATCTAGCTAAACAAATATCTCTGGAAGGTAGCAGCATATTTTGCTGTCTCCTTATGAAATATGTATCATCCAGAAATGCAATGTCAACTTTTTTGCGACTAAAGCTTATTTATAGTTTCAAGAATGAGACTATTTAATGTGATCAAATGGATTTTCCCCATGGCTCCAAGTATACTTCTCAAAAGAATAGTAACTCATATTTTTGCAAAAGAAAAAAGTTTAGTCCATAACTTATGCAACAATTCTTAATTGGTGAAACTTTGAGGCTCTGAAGGCTTGTGCTATCACAAAAAAGGAACTTACAGTGCGTTGTCCAGGCATGATTCTGGCTACATGGCTTAGTTTGACATGTTTCTCCTCTTTGCCCGAGAACCATATTAGTACAGACTCATCCTGAAAATACCAAAAATGCCATAAATGAACAACCAATCAATAAACAGTAATAAACAATACATGCTGACAGCTGATAGTAGTATCAAACAAGTGATTTCCAAGAACTCTTTATAGGTGCACATGTTCATCTACCAATTATTTTCTCAAATTCATGGAAGATAGGAGGTCCCTAAAAAAGAGCAAAGAGGGAAACTGTTATTGAGTTTACGGGTTAAAAATAATAACAAAACTCAAGCATAACCTCATGGGCTTATACCCCTTATAATGTAGTTACGAAGCATCATGGAAGAAAGCTTTTCTTTCTTCACAACTCCTCATCCTCAAAATTCATCTGAACATATCCCTTGAACTCTTCAAATACAGCTCCTATGGCTTAATTTCCCTATCCTATTCAATGTCAGCCACAGTAGGTCTCATATCTTTAGAGCAAATGCGGGAGTATATAAATTTCCTAAAATTTCTACTAAGATTAGCAGTGAGAACAGTGTTGTCATGAGGTGTTGAAGTGTTCATCTAGACGCTCAGGGAAGGTGAGGTGAGGCCACGGCACCTGAAGAGAACCTAGGCAAGGCACCTTCAACTAGGCAACATCTAGGCAAGGGCCTTCAACCAGCCATCATGTAGGCAAGAGCCTTAGTTGAGGCATTGTGTGACTAGGAGCTTGCCTAATACTAACCTAAGCTTCTGACCCAATAAGCTTTTACCCTGCCTCCCACACACAATTTGTTTTGTATGTTCCATATATACCACTTTGATCTTGAGTTCATGCAACAAATTTATATAAAGAAGATAAACCAGCTGAAATATCAAACATTATATAATCTAGTGTAGATTAAGTACAAGTAAGCACTTTAAGACACATCTTGATTTGTGGAATGTCATTGATCCTATTTCTCTAAATAAAATTGATGATTTAAATGAATGATTAGTTGAGAGATAGATGCTAACACGTCAAATGCAGAAGATGATTTAGTTTTTAATTATCACACTTTGACATGATGTGATATACCAAGGGCAGCTGTGGTTGGGAGAACAAGGACATCTGAAAGACAACAAGCAACAACATAGACGAGAGAAACAACATCAAGTTAAAGATAGTACATGTTGAAAAGAAGGAACTTGATTATGATAAAATAGAGGAATGATTGAATGATAAAAAATAAGTGGTAAAATAGATAAGCACATGGATGATATCGATGATGATGATGTGGTGGACCTTGATGATCATTAGAATTCTCGAATTAATAGATATTTGACTTTTGTGTTTTCTATTTAGTTACCATTTTGATGATCAAATACTCTCTACTTATGTAATTTGGTGCTTTAATAATAATGGTCTTAAAAAGAAGTTAGGTGAGGATGATGTGGTGCAACACTATTTGTCAGATATTTCTTCTATTAGTGAGGTTCAAATCCTATCTCAAGCCATACTTGATCGACGTGTTATGACGCGTTATAGATATCCTGTCACTAAGGTGCTTGTTCAATGAGCCAACTTACCAATTGAATATGCCACTTGGAAGTCTTACAAAGCATTGGAGGAAAAGTTTCCAGAATTCGTTGCTACTCAGCCTTAAGGACAAGACTGTTTTGGAGAGGTGGGAAATGTTAAGATTCCTTAATTTTAGGAGTCCTTAATTTTAGGGATTTGATATTAATCTTTATTTTCCTATTTAGTTTTTCCTAGTTATGGTAGGAGTTTTTGAGTTTTTCCTATTATGTTAGGAGTCCTTTAATGCAGTAAATTAGGAATTGCTATTTTTATTTTTGTTAGAAATCCTAGTCCTAGTTGACTAAGGATTAAATAACTCTATATATATGTAATGTCTTTGGCTATTTTTCTCAAGTAATCAAATAAAACTCAAAGCCTTTGACCAACTTGGAGGTTGATCCCCTCGAAGAAATCAAAGGGAGATTAATCCCCTTGAAGTGGCCAAATCCCCATATATTTTCTTAGATAAAGCCCTAGGGTTTTATCACATGAGTATCAGTGTCAAAGGATTCAAATGATTAAAAGAAGAGTATACCCAATGTCCAAAATTTGGCCATATCAATCAAGAAATCCAAGATGAAAACTATCATGAAAATATGGACTTCATCCTTAGAGATTGTTACCTTTTTCGGTCTACTAAATTGTGTGTTTCTCGATCCTCCCATTGAGACTTGTTTGGGAAATACACGTATGTGGATTAGGGGATCATCTTGGACGAGACAAGACCATTGATCAATTAAGGATAGCTTTTACTAGCCTTCCATAAAGCTAGATGTTGCTCGAGTAATGTCGCACTTGTCAAATTACCAAAACTCATAAGCACAATACTAACCTATACACCCCCATTACTTATTCCATATTCACCATGGCAAGATGTGAGTTAAAGATTTTTTTTCCTTGTATCTCCCAAAACAGCCCATGGCCATGACTCTATTCTGGTTATGTTGTTAATCGATTTTCAAAAATGACTCATTTTATCTCATGTAACAAGACCAACAATGCTTCACACATTGCTAAATTGTTTTTTCGATAAATGGTTAAGTCACACAGTTTACCCTCAACTATGATATTTAATAGGGATGTGAAAATTGTTTGGCACAACATTGAAGTTCTCTTTAGCCTTTCACCCTCAAATAGATGGTCAAATTGAGATTATTAATCATTCCTTGGGAAATCTTCTTAGATATTTAGTTTGGGAGAAACTAGGAAATTTGGTCTTAACAATACCCATGATAAAGTTTGCATACTATAACTCAGTCAACCGCTCCACTGAAAAAGGTCTATTTGAAGTTGTCCTCAACCATACTCCTCGCACACGCATTGACCTTGCACCACTTATATTTGACTATCGTGCCTCAGAACTAGCTCACTTTTCCACTCAACATATTCATGATTTGCATGCTAAGATTCAACATAAACTTGCCCTAAGTAATAAAAGTTACAAACTTACTACCAATGCACATCGTATAAGTCAAGAGTTTCAAGTTGATGATTATGTCTTTGTTCGCATTTGCCTTGAGAGATTCCCCAAAAACTCATTCAAGAAGTTGTATGCCCAAGACATTGGTCCTTTTCCCATTATCCAAAAATTGGGATCTAAAGCATATATACTCGATTTGCCTTCTGACTTAAATATTAATCCGGATTTAACTCCATATCATGGTACTTTTGAGCAAGGATTTTAATTTTGAATGATACCATCTGTACCGGGCGGTACGTACCAGCCCGCCAGCAAACCGGTACGAGAATCGCCCGCTACCGGATGGTACCATCGATTGGGGTTGTTTCCGCACCAATCGGTCGGTAACGGTCGATTTTGACCATTGTCGCCCACTACCGAGCGGTATTAGCCGAGAGAGGAGGAAGAAGAGGGAGAAGAAAAGGGAGAACTGGAGATCCGGCGCCGCTCTCCCTTGATGATCCTGATCCGTTGTCGCAGATGAGATGTCGCCTCCTCCTCGTCTGAGGCGACGAGGCCTCGACATCGTAGGTGACTTCTCCTCATCCGTACGGGGAGAAGAAGCCTTGGCGGGGAGAAGAAATTGTTCCCCACACGGGGAGAAGAAACGAGGCGACGTCGTCGAGGCATCGCCGACAACTTCTCCTCATCCGCGTAAGGAGCAGAAGCCTCGGTGGGGAGAAGAAACTGTTCCCCACACGGGGAGAAGAAACCGTGCGTGGGAGAAAAAACCGCCTCTTTCTCCCCGCGATTTCTTCTCCCTACGTGGGGAGAAGAAACGAGACGACGTCGCCTCCTTTTTTTATTTTTTAACTTTCATATATATATATATATATATATATATATATATATATATATATATATATATATATATA